GTTGTTGTTGTTGTTGTTGTTGTTGTTGTTGTTGTTGTTGTTGTTGTTGTTGTTGTTGTTGTTGTTGTTGTTGTTGTTGTTGTTGTTGTTGTTGTTGTTGTTGTTGTTGTTGTTGTTGTTGTTGTTGTGACTTGGATGATGTTGTCGTCGTCGTCTCCGGTAACCAGTCATCGTATGCCAGGACGAACTTGACGAGGACACAATTCACGACCGATTGGATACGCTCAAAACTTGTAATCAAGGCTGCACGCCTGACACGTGTAAGACTAAAGTTAACTGGATGAGTAGGCAATGTCTTGATATGTATCATGGACCCAGTGCAAGAATCGCGGAGGTTTGTATCGTCATTCGATATGCAATTGTTGTCTGACACATGGAACCAGTGGACTGAGCTCAACAGCGTTGATGCAGATGTCGCTGACCGAACTCTCTCGGTTTTGCACTTCAATCGCACATTTCTCCTTCATAAAGTCTTGTTTTCATCCAGGTCCTTTTTCGCGCTGGTCCAGTCGCACAATCCCTTCATGCCAACCATCTCCAACGTCAAGACCCTAGACGAGGCTCTCCAGGTACCTAGAACCATCGGAAGCCTCCATTTCAACGCCCGCGTGAAGATGATGTCAACAGGAATTCGTCGCAGCCGAGTGCAAGTCCGCCAGTGACCTTGAGAGGAGGAAGGTCTGAAGTTTACTCTCCTCCTGCTGCTTCTACTCACGATCGCCCCCCAGCTGCTCACTCAGAACCCTCACGCGCTGCGTTATGAGATCGACAAGGCGGAGAGGAGCGCAACAGACGCTGTTGTCAAGGTGCCAGCTCTGCCGCTGAGGAGAGTTTGCCTGTGAACGAGCATCTCAGGAGATGAATCAGAAGCTCCCGGGGCTCCTGGAGTTTCAGAGCATCATGAGGTAGAAAGTGGTTGAAGCTTGTAGGATGTGAGGAAAGTTTGTGCAGGTACATCCGATCCGCTGTAAACTTTGAATCCGAGATGCCCGAGGAGGAGGTGGAGGAAAAACTTATCTCGCTGGTTGGTATGCCCGTCTTGGTGTCGGAGCTCTGAGATCTCCTTGCAGACGAAAAAATATTTTGAGGAGGAAATGGAGGAGATAGAGAGGAGGAAGATGCTGCGAAGGTTTCACCTCTACATTGTTGTCACATGCTGAAGCCTTTTCAGCTTGTTCTGGCTTGGGTCGATTTTTCAGAGCACCCAAGACAAGCCTTCGTTCTTGATTCAAATTAGCAAAGTATGCAGATTGCAAGCCTGTTTGAATGTTCATTTGATCATCACTCACAGAATCTTTCTTTCCAACGATCTCTACATAAGGCAGCCGAGAAGTATCCCTGGTGACGCTACACGTGGGATGCGCAGGATCTGACAAACGCTTGTCTTGTCTTGTCTTGTCTTGTCTTGTCTTGTCTTGTCTTGTCTTGTCTTGTCTTGTCTTGTCTTGTCTCTTGTCTTGTCTTGTCTTGCCTGTTTGTCTGTCGAAGGGCAACGATGTGGTTTGATGCGACACTTCTCGGGCTGGAGATGAGACTTGCGACGCTGAGCAGGTTCCTGAAGTGTGAAATGCTTCAGCTCCTTACTCCTCGACCTCCAGCGCTCCGGCCATCGATGTTTCAAATTCATTCTTCTTCTCTTACCAGGTTGAGCTTCTGTGCACTGACAGCTGAGATCTTCGTCACCTGACGTCGTGTGATGGTGCAGGATAGGTTGTCAAGATCGTCAAGACGAAACTCCAGGTTGGCAGGTCAAGATGATGCTTGCGCAGCTCTTTGACTTCTTTCGTTCTCCAGAGGTTTTACAGCCAAGGCGCTTTCCCCTCTTTCCTGACCTCCTTCAAACAGCCCAAACGCCGAGCAATCAGGAGAGGAGAGACTCTGGCAGCGAGGAGCGGAGGAAGAGAGATAGGGCTGCGCGCATCAAGCTCCCCATGGTGTTGTTTCCACCCTCTTTCAGCCTCATAACCTGACGATCTCAGGTGAACGATTCGCTGGATGACCTCGTGAAGCTGGGGGTTCAGCCAACTGACTACGAGGATCCGCACGAGGTCGCGATTGGATGCGGAATGTTGAGGGTCGTGAGGGAGAGAGGAGCAGGTGGTAGATGCGCTGCTCGTCGACATGGAGACCCTCTTGAACAACATGTTCCCTGTTGAGGATGTGAGGGAGTTGGACTGTTGAGTCGCCGACAGATGAAGGTTTGCCACAGGTCCTAGAGAGCATGTTCGAAGACAAGTTGTGGCACGACGAGGTGTTGTGGCCCAGCTCAACACGTTTGGTTGTGAGAGCCACCTCAGATTGCAAAGAGCAAGTCATCGGGCATTGTAATGAGCTCGAGGGTTTCTACAGTGATTCGAAGTCATCTTGAGGGAAACTCCAAGGTTTTGATGTCGGAGGAGGTGAGAAGAAACGAGAAACCTGAGTTCCTTGCTGCCTCACCATCTCATCCGCAAAGCTGCACACAATACTGCTGGTGACTGCTGGTGAGTTTGACGATCATCCAAACTCTAGGTGTACAACAGTATGGAAGATGTAAATCGCGGGTTGATCGTTGTCGGAACACCAGGATCAGGTGGGACCAATTCCTGCTTTAGAGCCTCTTGATGTTCGTCTCTAGGAAAATCCTCTGCGCTGGCTGTAGCTGGGCTGTCGCACAGGTCGGCAAGGAGGCGAGCAAGACAGGAGATGATGTCTATGAGCGCAGACTCTCGCAGCCTGACGACGTGGTTATCCTCCACTTTGCCAACAGCAGCGCCAAGTCCAGGGACCCAGTCAGGATGCTGAAGAGGAACGATAGCCATGCTAGTAGTGGCGCGTCCGTGAATGTTCCCGCAGGCTGACGCTGGAGGTCTCGGGGGAGGAGTCGAGGCACGTGCTGGGAAAGTCGACGAGGGATGTAAATCACGTGGTGGAGTGTTTCTACCTTGCGATGGAGAAGTCGCACCTGTCGAGGGGAGGGAGGAGCAACGTTGCCGTCTTGTTGGATGGTCGACTTCACTCGAGTCTGCATGCGATTTCTTACACCTCCGCTCTTTCAGGGATTGACATGATGGATGAGAGCGAGACAAACTTTGACATCTGGCTGCCGTACCCTTGTCAATATCGAGGGTTGGGATTTGACAAGGGTTGCAGGCTATACTTTCCTTCAACCATTCGCTTCGTTTTGTCTTGCCCGGTAATGATGATATGATTGCTACGTGCGGTGTTGACATCTTGCCTTGTTGCCTGACAGGATGGAGTGACGAGCGACAGGTTCTTGTCATGTTATACTGTGTCATGTAGTTGTCATTGAGCCGTCATGGAGTCGATGAAGTCAGAACTTTCAAAGAGAGATGTTGATGTCACTTGTATCAGGTTGAAAACCAGGAGTTGGCCGACTATTCGCTTGTCGACGTTGACGACGGTGATCCCCTCCCCCCTCCGTCCGTCCGTCCGTCCGTCCCTCGTCTTTCTTCTCCTTCCCCTGTCTCCCCCATTCCCCTCCCTCGCTGCATTCTTCCTTGACTTTCGACTTTCAGGAGGCTCGCATGGCCGTGTGCTCGCTGACGTTGAGGAGGCAGCACATGGTCTTCTCCTCTGAGCAGACAGCTGCCACCATCGGGACAGCCTTTGCGTCCTCTCCTCTCTTCCTAGTAGCTTTCGTGCAGAACGTCAAGACCTGTCATGGGGCAGAGATCGCAAACAGCGCGTCAGGCACGCACCTGACTTGTGTCGTTGTGCCCGGCAGCCTCTGACGTGCTCGATAGCGAACGCGATCATACGCGAGCTGAAGCGATCGAGGGACGTGCAAGAAGTCTACCACAACATGCTGTGCGAGCTCGAAAGGAACATGGGGTGAAGGAGAGTCTTGGGGTGTCTCCGGTTTGCTGACGTCATCGCATCCAGCGACGACGTCAAACACTCGCTCTGCCTCCTGTGCGTATCCCAGCGAGGGCTGCAGGAGCACGAGCTGTACGAGGTGAGCAGCAGCTGCCCCAGTCTCTCCCCTGACGCGCCTCCTTGCCATTGCTAACAGCTGCTGCGGTTGGAGGGGAACTCCAGCTACCTCTGGCTGTACAAGTTCCTGCGGGCGATGAAGGAGATCATAGTGCCCATATGCGGATACCTCAAGTTCTTTCACGCACTGTTTCAGTCAGCCGTCGGTGCGTCCTTGCTGCCCGGCTAGCTGCCCAGTCTCGATCGATGGCTGTCCTTGACATCTGACACAGAGAACAAGTACTTCAAAGATGCGGATACGAGGCTGTCATATCACAAACGTCTCGAGGTTTACTTCAGGTCTTGCGCCTCCAGCAGCGTTCTGCGACGGTTGTGACGGGTAGTGCGACGGCAGGAGGAGGCCGGTTCACTTCAAGAGGAAGATGGAAGAATTTCCCTTCCAACTCTCCCAGCTGATCATGAGGAGGAGGGAAATGTTGGCAGCCAAGGAGGAGGGGGAGGAGGGAGGGAGGCCGAAGGCGGAGGAGGGAACTGTTGCAAGGAAGCCGATCAAGTTCAGGAGTGCTGTGGAGGGACTTGTCTTTGTGCACCGTTTGAAGAAGCAGTGAGAACAGTCCGGTAGTTGTTTCCTCCTGAATCTTGGCGTGCACAGTAGCAAAGTGAACCCGAAGCAGCTTCCCCTCCAAGATGATCTGTGGACAGAGCAGGACTTGTTGGAGAGCTACCTACTTGTTCCAGGTGCTCCTAATGGAAGCTTTTTTTTCGATCTTTGTCTCGTTGAGAAGAGGAGAAAGTTTCGTTCCTGTGTTTGACAGCATTCACAAATCTTGTCTGATCGGTCGCTCGCGACTTTCCAGGCGTTCTCCGCGGGTTTTCGACAGCTCTGTTCCATGCTGATCTCTGCGCGTACTGGAAGGTGGGAGGGGAAGGAGGAGGGGAAGCGGAGAGGAGCGGAGAGAAGAGGAGAGGGGAGGAGAGGAGGCTGACTTGTTGTCAGGTGATCTGCTCGACACCTGGTTCGCTGGCAACCGTGTCAGACAAGTACATCGGCTCCTTCCAGCAGGTCAGACACTGCAACGCCATTCTGCGATCGCTGTCAGTCGTTTCATGACTTCTTCTCTCCTCCCGCATCCACCTCCTCCTCCTCTTCCCAATCCCGACCATCAGTACGTCTACGAGACAGGAGACAAGGGTCTGCTCCCTTTCCTCCTCTTCTCAGCTGGGTTCCTGCTGGAGGACCTGGACCAGGTCAGCTCGGTTGTTCGATTTTCCGTAGTTTTGACTTATTGTTTCCCTGCGCAGTTCCGCCCTGCTAGCAAAGTGTACATCGAATGCCTGCGATCGATCGAACATTTACAGTTGCTTCATCCTCTGCTCCTCAACGCTCTCAAGTATGGAAGAAATCTGCTGCTGCTGCTGCTGCTGCTGCCACTTTCTCTGCTGCTTCTGCTGCTGCTGCTGCTGCTCGTGCTCGTGCTGCTGCTCCTGCTGCTCGTGCTCCTGCTGCTCCTCATCATCATCATGAACTTCAGCTGAAGTTCTCCTCAGGCACAATTTGTCTGCTCAGTTGGTCGAGTTGTACCCGAAGGTCATGCTCCACCTGTGCAACTGTCTCAGACGAGCAGGCAACCCAATTCCTCCCTCGTCTTCAAAGATCTCTCTGCCATGCTCTCTGCCATGCTCTCTGCCATGCTCTCTGCTCTGCTCTCTCCCTGGCTCTTTCTCCCTCCTCATCTTTCACAAATACCTCTCTCTACTTCTATTTCCCCGCCTTATATCAGAACTCTCTCTCTCTCCACCATGTCTCCCCTCCTCCTATCTCATTCTCCTGCAGACTTTCTCGGTCAAGCTCAGCTGTCCATGCAAGAGTGTATAGCAGTCGTCCTATCCAACAGCCTCTACGACTGGGCGCAGGCGGATGTCTTGATTCAGAGCGGTAGGGAGGCAGCGGAAGTTTCATGTGACTCATTCCATGTAGGTTTGCTTGCTTCGGTCCGAGGAGATTTCAATGCTGCAGAGCAATCATTTCGACGAGGGTTGGAATGCTGCGCCAACCATGATCTCGAAGCACAGGTAGGAGTGTGGAAGAGCAGCAGGAGCAGATAGAGGAGCAGAACGAGGAGCAGAACGAGGAGCAGCAGCAGCAGCAGCAGCAGCAGAGGAAGAACTGAATGAGGAGCTTGAGCAGGGGGAGTGGGAGAAGGAGGCTTTGACAACCTGGCTGCAGTCACGGATCTTGTACCTGCTCATGGACCTGTACCGGGAGCACGCGAGCAACGCGCTACTGGTGAAGGACTGGAAGAGAGCCGTCTCGCTGCTCAATAAGGTCAATAACCATCGCTTCCTCGCTCCCTCCCTCGCTCCCTCCCCCTCCCTTGCTCCCGTCTCCTTCTTCGCTCGCTCGCTCCCTCTCTTCCCCTCCCTCGCTCCCGCGCTCCCTCCCTTCCTCCCCTTCTTCCAACCTCTTCCGCAGGAGCAGAAGCTCGTTGTAGCTGCGAGTCACCTGTGGGAGAGCTTCTCCTTCCTCGACCCCAGCGCCAGCCGACCGGTCTCAGCTGTAGCCCACCTGGTCAAGAGGAGCAGGAGGCCGCCCTCGGCCAGCTTCAGCATACTCTGTGGTAGGTTGAGGTACGAGCCCAGGATCCCCAATCAGCCCACCAACATCACGGTATCCCTCCCCAGCTCGACCCCAGCTACTGATCCTGACGTGACTTCCGCAGGTTAGCTTCAGCTGGGGCAGGGGCATCGACCTGGGAGACGAGTTTGTGGCTGAGGTGCGTTGGGGAAGGCAGCTGAACTTGTGCTGGGCAGTGACGGGAGGGGTGCAGCTGAAGCAGCTACGGGGAGGGAGGGACCTGGAGAGGATGGAGGCAGACGGGCCGAACGCGTTCGACTTCGAGTACGAGTGGAGGGAGGCAGCGAGAGTGCTGCGCTTCAAGGCCGTGCGTCCTCTGGAGGCGAACAAGATGGTCAGGCCGGGAGGGGAGGCGGTGGAAGACGGGGGGGAGGGGAGGCGGAGAAGCGAGCATGCGTTGCAGAAGTCGATGAGGCGGGAGGAGGGTGCTGTGGACGTCTTTGAATAATCCAGAGCTGGAGTAGGAGAAGGGGGAGAAGGAGGATAAGGAGGAGAAAATTGCAAGAGATTTTTGTGGTTCTTACGACTTTTTCGAGCAGGTTGAGTTCACCATTCAAGCTTCGCAGGGGATCAGGTTGCCTGTCAAGCAAGGGGGAGTGGCGGTGGCGCTGCAGGAGGAAGCGATGATACACGTCACTAAGGTTGACTTGTGGCGAGGGAGGAGGAGGAGGATGAGTGCGATGACGTCGCTGGTCAGGCTCGGGTGCTCAGGGAGAGGGAGAACAACAAGGTGGAGCAGGGGGACAACTTTCCGTTCGAGTCTGCTTCGCGTCCTGGTGATGCTCTAGAGCTTTCGCTCCTCCCTGCTGATGACGTGGCAACGGCAGTGTCCAGCACCTCCAGCAGGGCTCCGAGGACCAAGTCGTCCATGGGGAGGATCTTGGAGGAGAAGCAGGACGAGGGATCAGCTGAGCCCTCGGTGGAGGAGGAGGCGGTGGAGGAGTCGCTGCGGAAGGGTTCCAACGAGAACGCCCGCCTCCTCCTCCGACTCTGCGATGTGATGAGCTGTAAAATCGTGGCGCTGAGCACGCGGCAGGAGAAGCTCTTGGCGGCGCGGGACAGGTGGCTGAAGGGGAAGCACGAGGAGCAGGAGGAGGAGGAGCGGTGGAGGATGAGGTACCTCCAGGACGACCGTGTGGTCCTGGGGAAGCTGGAGGCTCTGAAGACGCAGCAGAGCAACGAGCTCGACAGCGCAAGCATCGTCTACGACGCTGAGTTCGAGAGGGAGCGGCAGCAGCTCTACAGCAAGGCCGATGCGATCATCGACCTGACTCTAGAGCTCATGGTCGCCCTTTATGGGGAGTCGCACCCGGCGGTCACGGACACCATGATGATCATGGTGAGGATGCTGCTGGACAGGGAGCAGGTAGCCCTCGCCGCCCCCCTCCTGGTCGCCTGCTGGAAGACGCGAACGAACGCGTACGCCTCCGAGAGGCTGAGCCTGGGGCACCCGCGCGAGAGGGAGTGCTCGCTCTTCTACAACGGGGTCCGGATGTTCGTGGAGGCGAAAGTCTTCCCCGCCCAGCACCTCCTCCAGCACCTCCTCCAGCAGGATGAACGGCACGTGCGAATCCTGGCGCACGTGAAGACCGTCCTCTGGCTCTGCAGGCTGAGGGTGAGCTGGGCATCGAAGGAGGGGGAGGAGGGGGAGGAGGGGCACGCGACCAGGCTCAAGCTGGCAGGGAACGTCATCGAGTCGAACCTTGTCTTCCGGCCTGTGAGCATGGCGGGCGCGACGATCTCCATGGCGCCGCCTGAGGAGGAGGAGAGGAGGAAGGCGGTTGAGGCGCCGAGGAGCGGGTGGGAGATCGTCAGCCAGTCACTGGAGACCAACTGCTGCATGCTGGTGCTGGACCTGTCGAGCTGCCAGATAGGGAGGGAAGAGATGAAGCACCTGGTGGAAGGGCTCAAGTCGAACAGCAGCATCCACACCCTGGATCTGTCGATGAACAGGATCGGGGTGGAAGGGTCGCAGTACCTGCGGGAGCTGTTCCAGCACAACTTGGCGATCGCTGACGTGAACCTGTCGGCCAATGAGCTCAGGGACAAGGGGATCAGCAACGTCGCCGAGGGCATCCTGGCGAACAAGACAGCGACGAGGACGAGGCCTGTCCGACGGCTGGTCCTGTACGACAACTCGTTCTCGACGGACGGAGCAAGGGCCCTCTCAATGTGTCTCGCTCACGCGCAAGTATCCATCACCCTCCTTGATCTCTCTCGCAACCCCATCGGATGCTCGGGGGTCTCGTTCGTTGCTGACGCCGTCTTCCACGGCTGTCCGCTCGTGACGCTCCTTGTCAGCAACTGCAAGATCGGGAGCGAGGGGATGATCAGGATGGCGGAGGCGATCGAGAAGACGACTAGCCTCCTGTCACTCTCTCTGTCGAACGAGCAGGAAGACATCCATCAGGAGCGCGTCGATCGCAACACCTTCGATGACCTCGCCGTCTCCGTCTTCACCGAAGCCATCGCCAAGACACGCTCCCTCACCAGCATCGACTTGTCCGGCACCTCCGTCTCCTCCCGCGCTCTCCTCCCCCTCTCCGAGGCCCTCAGGCCTGTCAACGAGGAGCGGAACGAAGAACTCTCGTCCGCCAGCAGCCTCTCTCCTCCTCCTCCTCCTCCTCCTTCCAGCAGCTTCCAGCACATCAACAGCGCATGGGAGCAGCCACCCTCCCTGCGAGGCAGCCCAGGAGCGATTAGGAGCCTCAAGCTTCAGCGTTGCCCCCTCGACCCCCTCGGTGCTCAGCATCTCGCGCGCATGCTGGAGCGCAACCCAGCTCTGCTCGGCCTCGATCTCTCCGGCAGCCCGATCCTGGGGGCGGGCATGGCGGAGATCGCGGCGAGCATGGGGGGGGATGCGGACACGAGGAGGGAGAGGAACACGCGGCTGACGAGCCTCAGCGTGAGGAGCTGCCAGCTGCATGCCGGGGGGGCCGCGCACATCGCGAGGATGCTGCACAGCAACAACCACCTGCGGCGACTGGACCTGGGGGACAACAAAATCGGGACCAGGGGAGCGCTGGAGCTCTCAGCTGCCCTCCAGCAGAACTTTGCGCTTACAGAGCTGCAGCTGGGGAAGAACGAGATCGAGGACGAGGGGTGCCTGGGGCTCGGGAGGTGCCTGTCCGTGAACCTGTCCTTGAGGAAGCTGGACTTGTCCGACAACAGGATAGGAGACGGGGGGGCCAGGGCCCTCTGCCTGGGTCTGCTGGCCAACGAGGCCATGAGCGAGCTAAGGGTGGAGGGGAACGTGCTGACGAGCGTCGGCGTCTGCTTTCTTGAGGTCGCCCTGCGTTCGAAGCTGCTGAGGAGGAGCAGGGACACGCAGCTCCGCGTCGTCGGGCTCCCGTCCCACCAGCACGTGAGGGAGGAGGCGGCGAAGATGATGACGGCGAGCGAGTTCGCGGGGTTAGAGGGGATGAGGCACCTGTTCCTGACCCACGACTTCCACCAGGAGAACTACAGGAGGGGCAAGAGAGCGACGCCTTCGCAGATCAGCCTGCAGGGAGAGGGATGAGGGAGGAGGAGGGAGGAGGAAGGAGGAGGGAGGGAGGGAGGAGGAGGAGGAGGAGGAGGAGGAGGAGGAGGAGGAGAGCAGGATTATCTTGATATTCATGTATATGGGGGTGGAGGGGGGGGAGGCGGAAAAGGTCAAAAAGAGATACTCGTGGTTGCAATGCTCTTATCATTGTAGTGTGATGCGAATGTCGTCGAGCTTGTACCCGAGGGACCTGCAAGTCTGTATGAGACGCAAGTCCCTCCAACATCCTGCACCATCCGTCCGCTCCATGTCCTCCTCCTCCTCACTCCTCCTCCTCGTCTCTTCGATCCTCGCTCCCTCCCCCTGCCTTGATCCTCTCCTCTCCTTCTCCTTCTCCTCTCCTCCGCCTCACCTCGCGCAGAGCGGGTAGAAAACCTCGGCAAACTCTCTGCTTTCCAGCTGGTTAAAGGCAACGCCGAAGGAGATGCAGCGCAGCGTCGCCCCCTCCTTCCCTGCCACGACGTTCTCCAATCGCGGGTTGCCCTGCCCTCAAGTCACTCTCTGCTCCGCCTCCTCTTCTTCGGATGACCCTCCTTCCAACCGCCACCACGTCCTCCCTCCTCTTCTTCCTTTGTAATTCTGCTCATGACCTCCTCCTCTCCTCCTCCTCTCCTCCTACATCCTTCTTCGCATCCGTTTTCTTTCTCTTGCTCCCTCCTCCCTTCCATGCATCCTTGTCGTCTTTGCTCCCCATGTCACCTTGAGGATGAAGTCGTCCAGGCCGATGAGGTCGCCGGGGTAGTATGCTTCCGTGACATAGTCGGAGGCAAGCTGCTCGTTCTTTCCGATCAAGCTTCCTCCGATGACCAGGTACAACCTGATTGCGAGCAAGTCACAACATGTCATCGTTCATCACATCAGATCTCAGCAGGCAACGACTACAACCTGCGCTCGTCCCTCGCAGATTCGAGAGTTTTCCCTGCCGCCAGTTTCTTGCCCTCCACGCACTCGCTCGGGAACAAGCTGAAGATCGACTCGATCAGATCCTTGCTGTTCTCCGTCTGCCTCCCCTTCGTCTGCTCGATGATCTTGTCAAGCTCCGAGCATATCAGAGAGAGGTCCTCCGCAGACGCGAAGGTGAAGTGCTCGATCTCCGAGTCGTAGAAGTCGATAGCAAGCGAGTTGGTCTCCTGGTCCACATCGTAGCTGAGGATCGACTTGGACAGCCACGTGCTGTCTTCCCCTCCTGCAAACTTGGTGTAGAGGCCGATCTTTCGGAAGATGAGCTTGCTATTGAACAGAATCAACTTGCCCTTAACTTTGTTCATCATGGTGTGACATCGGAGAGAGAAGAGGTGGCGGTCGTAGATGGAAAGGTTATACCTCCTCCTGTATTTCATGGCCTTGGACGAGCGTGAGCTCGAGCAGAAAGCAGGGATGCGGAGCCAGAGCTTGTTGATTTCGTTGCAGAGATGGATGCAGACTGAGTGGAACACAAGAGACTTTCCGATGCGATCAACGTCGTCTCCCGAGATGCAGAACAAGATCGAGTCTTGGTTAGCCACCACGTCAGCACGGTGTGCCTTGATGTCGAGGAAGCTGTTGTCTCCGATGAGCGAGTAAACTCCCAGCGTTGGCTCTATGATCTCCCTTCGCCCGTCCTTGTTGACCTCCAGCCGCAAGCTGCCCTGCGCCACCAGGTACAAGTTCTTGTCATGTACGTCCTTCGCCACCAGCGTCTCCCCAGCCTCGATCGTCTTCCTTTGCAGCAGCTGCCAGCACTTCCTGTAGAGCTGATCCTCGACGTCCTCATTGAACCTCACCTGCGGGCAAGCTGAGAAGAAGAGCAAGGAGCCAAGGGGAGAGAGCGGGAAGGGAGGAGGGAAAGCAGCGAGAGAGAGAGAGAGGTATGCACAGTTCAATGCAGATGATATGGGGAAGAGACAAAAACAAATGAACGAGGGAAGGAGGAAGAATATTCGTTGAAATTGGGAGGAACGTCTTCGACTCACCCACTGCTGCGCCGTTGGAACTTGCTCGAACTCGATGGTGATGTTGAACCCGGGGGGAAATTTCTTGTGCTTGCCGATGTCATGCTCTACTTTGTCTATGTCATCGGCCTCTAGGGTGAATGGAGAGGAAGTGTGGGTGCTGGTGTGCAGGCAGCGGAAGCACAGTGCTGTGTCGGAGAGCTTCTGGTCTTTCTGGTTGGACGACGGCATCTTGTCGTAGAGCTCTATGCGGTAGTCCTCCGTCACCACCCATTTGTTCTGCCACACGTTGTCATCAGAGAGATGGAAGAGAATGATCGATGTGCCTTCACCTGCTTGAAAATCTGGCTGCCAGGGAGGTGATTGGTCGTCTTGTTGATCTCGAACACGATCTCCTCGGCGCTCCCGGGCTTGTAGGACTCCTTGGCGGGCCTCCCGAGGAAGAGGACGGTCCCGTCGGGCTTCGAGATGCGGAGGACGGGGGAGATGGCCTTCTTGTCCGAGAAGGGAACCATGTTGCACTTGACGAATGAGATTGAGATGGGAACATTTGGAACTTTCCCTGGTGTGAGGTTCTGTCAGAGGAGGACTGGAAGGAGGAGGAAAAAGAGGAGGAGCAGGGCGACAGACCGTCATCGATGGCCTTCTTGAAGAGTGACAGGATCTTCTTCTGGCTCAGCCCTGCAAGCACGCATCCTGTCAGCACGTGCCGATGCCCGCGGACGGTCCTTGCACCAGTCACTCCTTGCAGCTTCTTGTGCACGTCGAAGGTCCTCCTCCTCGCGAAGTAGTCTGGAGCACAGGTCATCTCTCACAGCAGCAGCATCTCATCCACCATCCACACCTGCTGCCTCCTCAGGGGTCGCGACGATTTCGCCGTCGCAATTTCTCTCAACTAGTAACCTGTCGAATATCATGAACAATCCCAATCTCCTTTACTGTCATCTCACCAGCTCGCTATCATAACACCAGTCCTTCCCTTCCCCCCCTTGCAGTGCACAGCAACGACATTTGCAGGGTGCTGCTTCAGCCACTGGCTCACCCTGCCAGGAAAAGCGACGTCAAGAAGGAATCGAGCCGATCGTTTCATGCCTGTGGCAGAAAAGCTTGATCTGTCGCAAGGAGGGAGGATTGTGATCGAGAAAAGGGATCCAAACAACGCGATTGTCAAACTTTTCTGCGTCGTATCGCTTCTCCATGCAGAGATTGAACACCATATATCTGTCGAGATTGCATCGAAATTATCAGAAACGAACGAGAGCAGAGCCAGAAATAGACCTGTCCTTGTGCTTGTAATCCAAGAACTGCTTGACAGTCCTGAGCACAACGAATCAAATTCTAGAATTGAAAACGATACAATCTTACGGTAGGTCGTTGCGGATGGCCACAGAAAACTCTCCAACATGATCCTCCGCTGGGAGGAGAACGACCTTCAGTTCGGTTGCAACCTTCCCTCATGGCATACCAGGAAATGCCATGGCAATGACTCGCTTCGTGATGTAGGTAAGGTCCAGGTCGAAACCATCTTCCTGGTATCTGTGAAAGAGAAGCTTACTACAACACAGACCATTGCAGCTTCCCAACACTCACCGACATCTGTTGCCTGATACTGCTGCTCGAGCTTTGGTGATCACGGCACTGACCTGTGCGAGATCATCAGCATCATCAGTCCAGTACAGAGGATGAGGGCTGACCCTCTGGACAACAAGGTCCGCTGGCTTGAGGAGCTCGACCCATCTAGCACTCGGTCACTCCGATCTCTAGTTAATTGAGATCATCTTCCTACTTTGCAACTTGAGTCGGATCCTCTGCACAGAACGTGGTAACATGTTCACCCTCTGCAGCATCAAGGTTAAGTGAAACATTGCAGCTGCAGCAAACCTTCATTCTTGTAGGACAGAGTGAAGGTGTTTTGGTACAGGTAGGTATCTGATTTAGTCTGTACGCAAGCGGAGATGTCTGTCTTGCTGCAAGGATACTTTCAGTCAGCCGTATACATCATATTCGATGACTGCTTCATCACCAGCAGACTTTCGTATCGTTCCCTCCCTCCTTCTCGCTCACATACTTGAAGTCACCAACACCTGGACGGACGAATCAACACCCCACCATTGCCGAACGCGTCCTGTGCTCCTCTTGGCAAGAAGTAAGAGAGTTCCAACCATCAAGCACGCAGAGACGAAGGCGCCAGTGATCTTTTTGATTACCCTCTGCATTCTTATTGAGTTTCCATAGATATCCCTGCCCAAGAAATCAGCATATGAAGCAGAAATAACGGCCCAAGGAGTCGATGCATGCAGACCTGATAAATGAAGCTTCGCTCCCTGCAGCATCAAGTCAACCCAAAATACCCAAAAGAATGCTTTTATTCCCGGACGGGAGAGAACGGTAAAGCTTGCAAGCATAGGACCAAAAAGCAAAGAAGGGACAAAGATAGGACGATGAAGGCGAAAGCTAAAAACATGGGATCGACTCACGCTAGTCTTTTCTCTCGCTCAGATCGTGCTTGAACGAGAGATTCCTTCCTCCTTAATTTCTTCATGTTTCGCTCTGCAGCAGACTTCACTGCCCCAGGCTGGAGCGGGTCTGGAAAATCTGCCATCGCGGACATGATCCCGGGGGTGAAAGCATCAGCATCAGAATAAGCCTCGCTGCTATCACTCAGCGTCCTCGGGAGAAAGTCCACGTTCTCTTCTTTGTTGCCGTTTTCGGGCTCACTGCATGCCCGTGAAAGCTTGTCATTACTTAACCCAGTCAACGAAACAATGACTTCAGGTTTGAAGCTTGGCATGCGGGTGAAATCATTGTTGGAATCATTCTTCTTCAGCGAGTCGCTAGGAGAGACCGAACCAAGCAGATCGTCTGAGAGCATACCCTGCATGGTTGCAGGCTTGGTGGGAGTTTGAATCGCAACGGTCGGCTCCGAAGGCGACATGATTTTCATCCAACCAGAGGCTGATCAAGCCCACCAGGTATACTGATAGATTCACAGGACGTTCAAGAGAAAGCACTCGCCTTGAAACGCGGAATGTAGCAAACTCGAGGGGGGGAGAAGAGGCCAGGGGAGAGGGAGGAGAGGGAGGAGAGAGGCAAGGGAAGACCTGCGATACGTCAATGGAGGATTGTGCTCTGCCTCCGCATGAGAGTTGCTTGACTTTGACAGGGGATGGGTGGGTGGGGTCCTCTCCCCTTCAGGTACCGGGTATTTTCTCTGAGTGACGGCTGAGAGGAAGGGGGGTACGGGTAGTCTCTTTTGCCTGGCCGGGCCGAAAAGGTAGGGATAGACTATAAAATACATATTAAAGAAGCCGCTTATAACTTTGTAAAATAAACAGTGGACGGAGTCGGGCCGGGGTCCCGAAAGGTAGGGGTAGTCGAATTGGCGCCGACTCAATGTCAGGTAGGGGGTCCGTGGAATAACGGAGGGTACCGGTGAATTAGTTCACAAAAATAGGGGTGATTCGACCTAGGGGTGATATCAAGACCGTGAGCAGGATTGGGGGGTGTAGTAGTCAAAGACTTCCTGTACCTTTGGGAGGGGTGGGTGGTGGCGGGTGACTCACTTTGTCAACATCTACTCTTGTGGTGGGGGTGGTATAGCGGGGGCACGAGAGGGTGATCAGCCATGAAGTGAACCTTTCCGTTAAGTGGGGGAGTGGGGTGGGTATTACACTTATAAAAAAAAAACTAACATAGTTCCGGAGGAGGGAGGACCCTATGGTATGTTGGCTCTAGGCTACCAATGGGTGGGTGGAGGGGGTTGATTGATGCACCCGACACAGTGCCGGAGCAGGGGTGGGTACTTCAATAGAGGGGTACGACGGTCGCCCGCTGAGCGGCTGAATTTCTACCTCTGAGGCGGGTCATTAGTACTATTGGGAGAACTCAAATTGGAAGCCTGCCGCTAAGCATCATTTGAAAATTAGACCAAGGTCACTTTGTTTTTATTGGCTAATTTTCAAAAATTTGGAGATAGAGTGGTGCCTTTCAATACAACACAACAACAGATCGAAAGCGCTCTCTTTCACGAAGTTGTTCACTACCAACACTGTGATGAGTAAAACTAAAGGCCGGCAGTACTGTCATCACCCCCCTCCGTGAAAGGCATACAAACTCCGAAGAGTTCTGGTTTCTTACTCCTCGTCCGACCTGTACTGGGTGCTAGGTCAGCTATTCTATAAGAGAAGGCATATCAAATTTGGTCATGGTGGTGGGCTGCCCTGTCGCGCACAGAGATCTTTGGTGATTCCCAAAGGCTCCGTGTCCATTTGCAGAACGAATGGGCACGGCTGGGCCCGGTGGCCGGGCCGGGCAGGTTAAATGATGATAATTGTTTTTATTGACCCAAATTTATTTTTTTAATATTTATTTGTCCAAAATATGACGATTAAGATAAATCTTCCTGAAACTTACCGCCTGCTTACTCTTACGAAATGCGACTACCCGACGAAGGACGACCATGCTTGTGGAGGAGGGGAAAAGGGCGGGACAAGGAATGAGCACGATGATGATGAAAGAGAGCCATTGTATGGTAGTCCCGACCCTGCAATTTGAGAGATGCTAGAGTTGGATGTTGGGATTTTTCAGTGTTCACCTTCTGTCACACGGGATTTTGTTTTTCTTGATCACCTACCGGCCAATTCGACTATTCCCCGCTCTGCGTTTTCTGCAACTCACTAGAGATTTTGTTTGCAGCATGATGTCAAAGATTCTGGCGATTCAAGCGTGCCTGGTGCTCTTCTCGCACTCAGCTTCTGCGTTTTCCCATCCGAACATGGTGAAAGGATTCAGAGGCGCCAGTGCTCCATCCTTTGCTCGATCAGTATCTCGCAGCCATCCCAGCAATCGCAAGACTTCTCCTATCTGCGCCATGGAGATCCCTGATACGTGAGCGAGGAAGGAGAGGAGATGGAGAGCTTGCTGATTGCCTCGCCAGGTACGGATTCGTCATGTCCACAGCGGCTCTTGCTGCAGGGATGGTGCAATGGAAAGCGATCCAGGTGAAGGAGAGGGAGGTTATTCCAATTTCGAGATGTAACGTGTCGTTGCTCACAGGTCTCTGTGGCAAGGAAGACGTACGGTGTCCAGTATCCCTCGATGTATGAAGGTGGGGATGCAAAACCTTGCAATCATCCCTGCCCCTTAAAAACCCTGTCCAGACAAGGAGGACTCGAAGTTCAACTGCGTGCAGAGAGGACATCAGGCAAACTTGTTTTGGGAGCAACTCGTCTGACCTGCTTTTAGAACACCCTTGAGTATTTGCCGTCGTTCATGACTCTGCTCATGCTGAACGGCCTCATGGTGGGTTCAAGGATTTCTCCTTCAATGAAGGAATGCTGAGTACTGGCAATGAAGGCTCCAATCTCTACATCCATCCTTGGAATTGTTTGGATCGCCGCAAGAGTTGTGTACATCCTTGGCTACAGGTGACAAACGTGTTCCCTGACGGTTGTGGCTGTCCGTTGTTCCCCTCTTTCAAGTTTTGTTGTCGTGCGCCTGTTTCTGCATTCACTGCGATCTTTAGTGTTTGGATTTCCTTGTTGTCCATCATCCGATCTTGGGCGCATGATTGTTCCATCAGACTCACATCTGATCTGATCTTACTGCTGTGTTTGCTCTGATCTTACCGCTGTGTTTGCAGCCAGGATGGCCCGCAAGGTCGCCTTCCCGGCGTGATCGTCTCTGGTCTCATCTTCGTCTCGCTCATCTTTGCAACGATGTACAATGGCGTGAAGTTGGCTGGGCTCTTGCCATTCTGAGAGCCTCGCGCTCGTGGCGCGGCGCCGGAATGATACCCGGCCGGGCGATCCGAGACTGGCCGGGCTGCAAGCCGCGGCCGGGGCCGTGCGCCGAGCGGTTTGGACTCCGAGGCTCCGAGTCAGTGTCCGAGTTCAATGAACTTAAGCCTGCACACCTTGTCATGTCGCACAACCTTTAGCCGCTGCGACTCGCGGCTGGGCCGCCAATCGAGTCACGGTTCAGCAGCGGCAGACTGCTGCCGTGCCACCCGGCTGGGCGGCGGCCGGGCGGGCCGCGAGTGAACTTGAGTTCAGACTCGGAGTCACGGAGTCCGGCACGGTCCGTCTGAGTCCGAGCCCGGGCCGGGCCAAAGCCTAGTAGTACCAGGCCCCCGGCACTGAGTACTGAGACTCAGCCTCACTGTGACGGCACTGTGAACTGTGAATACTAGTAGCAGCACTGTACCGTAACCTTCGCATATATTGTTTCTTAATACGATCAATGTAGTAAACTTTTGTACCTCTATATAGTACAAAAGATAATTATAAGCTTTATCTACTGAAATATTTTGTTTTAATATACAAAACAAACGGCATGGTAATCAATTTGTAAAAAAATATTTGTACCTTTCCTTTCCATATTATAACTTGGACCTACAAACCTGTACAGAAAATTAAATTATTGCTTTTTATCTATATTATTTTTATAAGCGCGGATCTGTCGATGTCATCGGCTGCTGGGATAGTCGAGCTGGCAGGTCTTAATAAGAGATAATTACCTAATTTTCAAATTGAAATAGAAGTTTACCGACAAAAAATGGAAAATAAATGAAAGATTTCACCTTATATAGAGGAATATGATATTATTGGTGTAGACTAATAACACGTTCAAGGCCAACTTAGGTTAGCCAAGTCGCGTGAGCGGCAAGCAGCATGTGGAATGGGAGGGGAGGGACAGAGAGGAGGGAACGAGGAGAAGAGAGCCGGGTGCGTGAGGAGAAATGGTTTGAGGATCCAAATCTGCCAACATGTATGTAGCATCGCTCCCTGCGAGCAATGGCGTTAGAGGTTCATGGAAGCATGGTGTTCGAATGTAGCCATCTCAGTTGGACAGTGGGGGGAGAATGGTCATGGCTAGAATTGAAGGTGGTTGGGAAGAGGTATGTGTCCATGCAGAATTAAGATGGAAAGATGAAGCAATTGGGGGTAGATTCAAGAGTGCATGCAGCTTGTCTTGAGAACAGGATTAATATCATTGTTTGAGAATGGCGATTTGCTTTCATATTTTCTGATCCCTGAATCATCTCTTGCTGGCTTTGGGGAACTCACGACCATATCTTGTTTCAGGTCATATTTTCACGCCTTGTGGCCAAGGTTGATGTTCTGATCGGGATTGGCACGTGATCCCTGGACCAGAAACTTCCTTATCCACTGCATATCCCTACCAAGATGGCGATGGCTATGGAAAAGCAGTGTACCTTTCTTATCTTCGATGACAGTGTTCAACGAGCTGAAGTAGATGAGCTCAAAGCGGGGCTGGAAAACAGCGATGTAAGTGTCAAGGTTGCAACCATGAAGAAGATTGTGCTTCTGATGATGAACGGGGAGCAACTCGGCGACCTTCTCATGGACGTGATCAAGTTTGTGGTTCCCAATGAAGACAAGGGACTCAAGAAGCTCCTCTACCTGTACCTCGAAGCCGTGGAAAAGAGAGGAAGAGACGGAAATCTGCTCCTGCCGATGATTTTGATTTGTAACATGATCCGCAATGATTTGAATCATCCCAATGAGTTTGTGAGGGGCTCTGCGTTGCGCTTCTTGAGCAAAATCCGCGAAAAGGATATTCTTGAGCCGCTAGTTTCATCTTTGAGAGCGAATCTCGAGCATCGCCATAGCTATGTTCGAAGGAATGCTGTTCTTGCCATCTACAACACCTACAAGTGCTTTGAAGATTTGATGCCTGACGCACCAGAACTCATCGGTGAATTTATTGACGGGGAGAACGATGTGTCTGCGAAAAGGAATGCTTTTGTTATGCTTTGCAACTGCGACCAAGAAAGGGCGGTACAATATCAGCTGGGCGTCATCGACACCATTAACTCCATGGGCGATATTGTGCAGCTCGTGATGTTGGAACTTATTCGCAAAGTTTGCCGTCAGGATCCCTTCCAGAAGAGCAAGTATGTCCGTGCAGTCTTCAACCTCCAGAGCTCTGCTTCGAATTCTGTGGCCTTTGAATGTGCTTCCACTCTCGTTTCTCTCTCGAGTGCCCAAACCGCCGTGAGAACCGCCGTGCAGGCATACTGTAACTTGCTCAGCACTCACAGCGACAACAACGTCAAGCTCATTGTTCTCGATAAGTTGAAAGATCTTCAACAAAAGCATCCCGAAGTATTGAAGACGCTCATCATGGATATTATTCGTGGACTTGCTTCGCCCAACATCGACATCCGCAAGAAGGTCTTGGATTTGGTGATGGAGCTCGTGAGCCCTAGCAGCATCGACGAAGTTATTGCTGTTCTCAAGAAGGAGATTGCCAAAACTCAGCACACAGACACGGAGAAAGCACCTGAATACCGTCAAATGCTGATTCAGGCAATCCACAACTGCGTGATCAAGTTCCCAGAAATCGCTGGAAATGTTGTTCATGTCCTTATCGATTTCTTGGACGACTCGAATGCTACTTCGGCGTCTGATGTGGTTCTGTTCATGCGAGAAGTGGTTGAGACATACCCCAAACTTCGTGAGCTGGTTGTCCATAAGCTTGTGGAATACTTCCCAACTATGAAGGTTGCTAAGGTCTATCGCGTTGCTCTGTGGATTCTTTCCGAATATTGCCGAACGGAAGCGGAGATCAAAGCAGCTTACGATGTCGTGAAACAGTCCATTGGTAGTGTCCCTTTCATCGACGAGAACACTCTCGAGGCGGCTATCAACACAGCGGCTGCTGAACACAAGCACACTTCTCCTGCTGTGCTTGCGGATGGAACATATGCCTCACAGTCGGGCATCGGAGCGAATCTTCAGATCGGCAAGGACGAACCCCCATCGTTGCGCAACTTGCTGATCGGAGGAGACTTCTATGTTGCTGCCGTTACAGCGTCTTCACTCGCCAAGCTCATCATGCGGATCTCGTCCTTGTCAGGAACATCTGGGGAACTAGTGAACCAGTGGAGCGCTGAAGTCATCGCCATCATCTGCAGCATTGTGAAGCTGGGCAACTACGGTATCACCCCGAACAAGATGGATGATGACTGCACCGAACGCTTGTGGTTGTGCCTGATGATGCTGAGCGACCCCTACAACAAGCAGATGCAGGAGATTTGGAACGAGAAGTGCAGGAACTCCTACTCTCAGCTCCTGGTTGAAAAGCAGAAGGTGTTGACAGAGGAGCAGCAGGAATCGAAGGAGGAGGCCAAGAAGTTCAAAGCGCATGCGGATGATCTTATTAGCTTCAGGCAGCTTCGGGGTAAAGGAGCAATCATCACGGAGATCGAAGACGAGGATGCGTTGGATCTCTCCAGAGCAACGGGCGCTGCCGAGGAAGAGGACTTTGGATCAAGGCTGAAGAGGGTCACGCAGCTCACTGGCCTTTCCGATGCCGTGTATGCAGAGGCTGTCGTGACTGTGCACGATTATGATATCGTCCTTGACGTCCTGGTCATCAACCAGCTGAACGAACATCTTAACAACCTCTGCCTTGAGCTGTCAACTGTCGGGGACCTCAAGCTCTGCGAAAGGCCCCAGACTTATGCCCTGGCTCCCCATGCTCAGCTCAACATCAGGGCGAACATCAAGGTTTCCTCCACAGAGACTGGAATCATCTATGGAAACATCGTCTACGACCTTGGACAAGGAACTGGAACGGACTCGAACGCCAGGGACGCTCAGAACATGGTCATCTTGAATGACATCCACATCGACATCATGGACTACATCACTCCTGCCCACTGCTCCCTCCTGCAGTTTCGGCAGATGTGGGCTGAATTCGAGTGGGAGAACAAGGTGGCGGTCAACACTTCGATCATTGACCCTGTCAAGTACCTCCGTCACATCGTCTCATGCACCAACATGCAGTGCCTGACACACATCGACGATGATTCTGGGGATTGCGGCTTCTTGGCGGCTAACCTGTACGCAAAATCTATCTTTGGCGAAGACGCGCTGGTGAACGTTAGCATCGAGAAGCAGAGGGACGGAGCTCTCAGTGGCAACTTGCGTATCAGGAGCAAGACTCAGGGCATCGCACTCAGCCTCGGGGACAAGATCACTCTCAAGCAGAAGAGCATCGAAACGTCCAAGTGAAGTCAGAGGTGAGAGGGCTCGTGCTGATCTCGCTGAGAGGAAGCATCTTCGACGTGGGCGTTCTCGCTTGCGACGAGGATGTTGGCGGAAGATGAGGAGAGGTTTTCTTGTCTCCCAACTTGTAAGTCTTGAGAGATTTGAATGGACATTTATTGATACACTCCGTTCCTGTTGCCTGCTCACTTCACCTACCTCGTCTCATGCTCTACTCTGCTAAATTGCTTCGATTCATATATACATCAAAATTAGACATCAGCATTCCTGTCACAATGGTCGTATCAACCCCTCAGACACCACCTCCTTCACACGTACACACGGCATCACTACCTTCATGAACACACGGCATCACTACCTTCACGAACACACGGCATCACTACATCGAAGAAGAGAAGAATAGCATACCCTCATGTCTAGCAGGGAGGGAAACTCTAGCTGCGATCGTACTATCAGCAACAATCTTTTCCTCAACACTGACATCAGATGTAATCGTCATCTCGTCCATAGTAACAGCTCTCACAGTCGAGCACATCGTAATACATGGCAGGTATGGAACGAACCAAAAACACGGAGCACCAGGCAAGACAACACTGACTACCATCCGCAACACAGACTCATCTCATCATCCTCCATGTCAAGATGAAACAAATCTACAGGCAGACTATCTTTCCACTTGATCAACTCCCATGAAACGAGACAGCATACACTCTTCCTATCATGGCTGTGCGCTTTTTTTTCCCCCCCCCCCCCCCCCCCCCCCCCCCACCAATCTGACCCTCCCGCCCTTCATCGTTAGCTTCATCCCGCACAGACCCTCCTTTCTTTGCTTTCGTTGGCTTTGCTTCCAGCTCGGATCCCTCTTCTCTTGCGTTCTTTCATCCCTCCCCCCTCTTCTCTTGCGTTCTTTCCTCTCTCCTCCATCTTCTCTTGCGTTCTGTCCTCCTTCCTGCACCTCCTTTGTGCCTCCTACTCGCTTTCCCGACATCATCAGGTAGAATCCTTCTCGCGCCCCCAAGTCTGCTGCATGTCTTGTTGTCTTTCCTACTTAAAGAAGTCTCCTTCCTTGTTTCTGTGCTCTGTCTGTTCAGGTATATTCATTTCTCTCGCTCATGCTGACAACAATTTTCAATGCAGTCCAAGTGGCATGACTGTCGCACCTCTCTTGTTATTTCTTCGCGTCCAAGAATTCCCTCCCCGTGGCAAAATATTTCATACCTCTTCCCCATCAAACCATCCCTTCCACTTCCTCCCCTTCTCTCCCCTACTTACCATCCCTGCCTCCCTACCATCCCTGCCTTCTCCTCTCCTCTTCCTCTCCTCCATCTTGTATCCGGAGCAGTCACATTGCTGATCCCTTACGGACCACCCCACCCTTATTCCCCCGTTATTGTAGATGCCCTCCCCCTCATGATCTAAACTACCTACCCCTTGATCACATTAACCCCTTCAATCTCTCACGTACCCCTTATTTATACGGTTGATACAGGGGCAAATTGTTCATTTTTGCTCACCCCTACCCCCTAAAATGCTCTTCCAGTTCTGCATATGTACTACCCCACCCATTAGCTCGAAATCACAGCGCACTTCCACCCCTAGTTTATATCCATATCGCACCCCCAGTTTCTAGGACCCTCTATACCAATCTTGACTAGCACTATAGCATAAATCATCCTAATACCCATTGGGGTAGCTCCCTAAGACCTCCTAGGTCTGCAACTCCAAATCCCACTAAAAACTCTTTTTCTTTTCCGATGGGGGTTCCTACCCCCCACCCCACCCCACCCCACATCACCCCACCACCTTGTGTTTGCAAGGACCCCCCGTGGGTCTTTCCTACCTCTTCTCGAATTATTTGAGACCACCCCCATGGTACACTACCCTCCCATGGAATGAAACGTACTTACTACCCCCCGCTAGCTAATCCATGTACCCCCTAGCAACACAATGCTTAAGACAGACGGACCCCCAACTTGGCCCTTAGTACCCTTCCTGCAATCGGACTCAAAGTTGAAAAACTGGGGGTAGGGTGGCTGACAAAGAAAGGGTAGGGTGGAGATATAGCTCAGAATTCAAACCATGGATACGTTACATGTAAGGCGCGGAACCCGTACGATAACTAATTCTAGAGAGGGGTAGGGGTACTCATCGACGTTACGTCGATTCAAATGTCAGTTGAGCTAAATATGATTAGGACGGGTGGGGTGAACTCTCCATGGGGTGGGGTGCTTGTGTGCATTTACGGATTGGTGGGTGGGGTACTTTGACTAGGGGTGATCACATTGGGAACAGCGCTTGAACACGGGTACGCTTTGGTTACTCCTTCAAACACCCGTGGTTCTAAATTGATCTGGTTGGGTACATGACCGGGTAAAATGAGATATTTTTTTTCGAGGAACCTTAATATGAGGGGTAGTCCTGTGGTTTAAACCTGAATGCCGAAGGTGAGGGGGTACTGAGGAATCCTGGGGCCGTGGGGGTGGAGTTTGCATACGCTATTGTCAATAGGTGGGGTACTTTGAAGTAATATACATGGGTGGGGTACCATCCCCAGAGAAATAATTTTTCACTCAAGACCCTGCCCGTCAAACATTGTCCGACTACGGGTACCAAATATATGAAAAAGGGGGGTACATGTCCCATGTAAAATCAGAGGTATTCGGATATTTGAAATGTTTTGCAGCAAGTTTAAATATTTGAATGAAATATGAGAAAGTTGGAAATGGAGGGGATGGAGAACCCCACTTCGGAAATACCTCGTTTCCGCCCCTACCTTCGAATGTTTTTTTGTTTTTTTTTCTTCTGTTACTACGAGGGCAGAGAGAGTGAGTGTGATAGGAAGATGAGGGAAGAAGTAGAGACAGTGACGGGAATGAACATGCAAGTAGAGGCAAAGAGAAACAAAGGAGAAGAGTTGGCATGCGAAATTGAATGAGGTGTGTTAATCAAGAAGTCAAAAGGCGATTGAACAAACGACAAAGATGCGATGCGATAGGATGCGAGGCGATGCTGTTTGAGCGCCCGCATGCACAAGTGAGCATCTATCACTCCAGAACGATGACAAGAACTTCTTGTGGCAACAGCAGTTCCTTTCCTGTTGAGCAGGGATGACGCAAGGGAAATTGAATGTTGTGCTTTTGAAAATCCAATCTGGCAGTCGGGCGCTTAGAAGAAGAGGGTGGTTTAGGTCTGCAATAGCAGGGAGAAATACCGCAAGTCGGTTGTAGTAGCTTTCGAGCTTTCTAGTAGGTTTCATGTTGACCTGGGGAGAGCGTCAACGATTACTGAACTTGACAGTTACTGGAAGTTTGTGGTAGAGTGACAGGGCATGAGGACATCAGTAGGATGGGAAAATAAGGCGAGCAGTCGAGTTGAAACAAGATCGATCGTCTTTGAGAGATGAGAGAGCTATAGCTGGATGCTGTTGCTCCCTTGTTTTTTTGTGTTGGTGATCCTTGTAGCGTTTGCCTGACATGTTGACTGGAAGAGCTGTTTCCTTCCTCCCAGCACACTGCAACCATTCCTCGCACACACGTCAATCTCGGTGAGCTTGATGATCGTCACAGAACCATCTGGAACAACCTCTGACGCCAATTCCTGCTGCAGCATGCTTGCCGTGAGCAGAGGATTTGGGAACGACGACGCAAGCAGTAGAGGTGGGATGGAAGCGGGAGTTTGGCGGAAGATTGGATCCAGGACGCTGTCGAAGTATGACGATGGTGAGGGCAAGAGGAGGAGACTCTCGTGCTCCTTCACTTGACGATCATTCCTGCAGCACCAAGACCTCTGAGGGAGCACGACGCCTCGTCCGAGGTTGCCATCCTGCTCCCCGTGTCCTGCCTCGTCCCAGTTGCTGACGCCTGCCTCCCGCCCCCTCACAGGATGCTAAGAGGAAGAGGAGAGCGATAGATAGTTTCGGATCGCCAGAGCACGACAATCAAGTGCTGAACTTTGCCGTGTCCGCGCGCTGCTTGCCTGACCAATCCCCCCTGAAACAGTTCGCACTCTACTCAGCGCAGTCGCCGTGTGCGTCCCCCTTCTGGCAGGCATGTGGAGCCAGCGCGGAGGCTGTTGGGGGTAACGGCAGGACGCAGGCAAACATGTCGAACGCTACAGGTTTCCAGCCGATACAGCAAGCAGCATCAGGATTCAAAGTGAGCGGCTCACCGCGTCGCTCCTCATCCTCACGCGTGTTGCAGTCGGCCGAAGTCGATCCCTTCGCTATGCCCAAGACCCCTGATGGATGGGGACAAGCAGGTAGACGAGGTAGCAGGCAAGAGGTGCAAAGCGCTGACGAGAACCCTTCCTCTCCCTCCCCCTCTCCCTCTCTCCCTTCCTCCACCTTCCTCACAGATGGCAACGTGACTCCTGGCTTCGGACGAGACATCGCAAGCTCTCCACTCATCATCCCGCCCGACAGCCAGTAGGACTGGCGGGTGCTGCTCGCCCCCTCTGACATGCTGCGATGGCAGGGAGGGAAGAACAAGTAGCGAGTGGTCGACAGGTGGGATCATCGGGCACGAGACGTACCCTAGTGACGGGGGTATCCTGGGAACGGATCTGGCGGGCGTTCTTGATGTGAGGAGGAGGAGGAGGAGACCAGCACAAGGATGCTGACTGTGGGCTAGGAGCCTGAGCCATTCGAACTATGCTGTATAACTCCGACACACTCGATCTTCAGTGAGGAGAAGAAGACCGGGAAGGTGAGGATGAGCACGAGGACAAGGGCGAGGAGGAGGAGGAGGAAGTGGTGGTTGAGGAGGAGGAAGTGGCGGTGGTGGTGGTCCTGCGTCTGCTGCTGCTGCTGGTGGTGGTGGTGGAGGAGGAAGCATGCATGCTTGTTCCTGATGACTTGTCACAGAGGAAAGCTCCTGAAGCTCCGGTCAATCACACCATCAACCTGCTCTCATCTCAGGTTGGGGATGCCAAGACGGAGCTCTGAAGCCTCGAATTCTTCTAAATCTGTTCCTCTACAGAACGCCAAGGGTCTGTCAGCGAACCAGGAGAACGCGTCCGCGCCTGTCAAGGCCGAGATGGCGGCCAAGACCAACGCAGTTGCGTTGAAGGTACGCGCTACCTCTTCCTTCTCTTCCTCCTCCTGCTCTTCCTCCTCCTCCTCGTTCTCCATCTCCTCCTACTTCCTCCTTCGCCTCCTCATGTTTTGTTGCAGCCCAACACATCGAAAGGAGTTGTGGGCAAGAAGAAGAACAATGTCGATCCCAGCTTCCTTCCACTGCTCGACTGCCTGACATGTCTGCAGACCAAGATCAAGTCTGAGGAGGCGACTCGCATAGAAGGTGAACCTGCATCGTTGATCCTCCTTGCCTCCCTGTCCTCACCCTCGCTGTCTCATTTCAGGACCAAGTGCTCTCGCTCGCCCCGTCGTCAAGTTCGATGCGAATGCTGCAAACAAACCTGTAGCGTTCGCTGTGCCAGGTCACTTCCTCTCCAAATCTCCTTTGCCCCCTCACAGCTCCTCCTCCTCCTTCTCCTCCCCTCTCCTCCTCTCCTCCTCCCCTGCTGCTTCTGCTCGCTCGTCTCTCTCTCCTCCACCTCCCTCCCCCCCC